TAGAGAAACAACTACTCATGATGAGTATGAGAGAGAAGAGAGATAAAATCAGAGAGAGAATGCAAGGAACAGTTTCCAAACTTAAACTTGAGGACAAAGTTTCCGAATGAGGGAGAAATATGAGACCAACTAGCAGCAGGAAAGAAAATTAGATATTTGAAATTCTATTATAATCTGTTGCTTTTATCTTTTCTAGTAGGATTTCTTTCTATTTTTCAATAGTGGGATAGCATTAGGGTACTTAGTGCATGACATTAGAGTCAGAGTTGTCCTGTACCGTGGAGGACAAATAACAGTTACTGTCAACTATTATTAGCAGCAGTAACGGCAATATATATGGATGTAATTCCAGAAAAGATCAGAGGAAACCCTAATGAAATTTATCTGAATCCCTCTTTTATATTCTCTCTATTTCTACTTTTGCCCTTCTTCCCTTCTGTATATATAGATGTAATTCCAGAACAGGTCATTAGAAAACCCTAATGAAGTTAATCTGAATCCTCTTTTACATTCTGCGCTATTCTACTTTTCCCATTCTTTCTTTCTGCTTCTCCTTTCCTATTCTTACTCAAACGTCTCATTCTATCTTCTCATAGCCTGAAGCTCACCACATTATCAAAAACCTCCTAGGCCTAGCTTACTAGGTCTTGACAGTGAGCTATAATTATGTAAAAAAAATTATACGTTTTATATCTGTAATTTCAAGTTTATATTATCTTAGTTTCACACATTTTATATTATTTTGTTTTATATTACTTTAACAAAGAATGCTGTCCAATTAGACAGAAAAAAGTTGTTAGCTTTATTATTAGTACAAACTACACATGCCTGATCCAATTATTCAAATAGCAAAGCATAAGTAGTCCATTTTTGTTGAAAATAATATTGGAAACTCTCTTCCCTCTCTCTATGTGTCTACAGATAAATATATATAGAAATATGTAGAGAGAATTTGATGGAGCAACCTTCTTATAGGGTTTACTCTTCTTTTTTCTTTTAGGAGAATCTTAAGAGTTTAATTTTTATTGCTCTCTTCATATTTTCTCTTTTCTTAACATGATCTCTGTTTCTTCCTTGGCATTTTGAGGGATCATTTTAATCCATCGGTCTACTACACATGCATGTGGTCTCTATTGCATTTGATCTATTCATAATGTTCTTGAATACACAATACATTTGTTATACCAACTTAAACAAGTTACAAGAATAAGTTACGGTAATTTGCCCACATAAAGAGTTATAGAACTGCAGCCAGCTTAATATAAATCTTCAATACTACAAGATATGCTTGCTTCAGTTGTGTGAATCTCTTTATATACTCTCATTCTTACTGTTCTCCATTTGATTTTCTATCAGTGGACTGGGATTTTATAAACAAAAAATCAAGTCGATATATTACAACTAATTCTTTTTTAAGAGAATTTAGGATCACTTTTGTCAAAATTAGAAGATAAGGATGAAAACTTACACAGATGACACTACTCTGCTTCAGCAACTTTACATCCCTATTCGACACTGAGCCCTGTCTACTATTTGTAGCAAAGACAGCAATTAACTAGGCCTCTACCAAATGTTAATTACCTGCGCTTGCTGACACCATCATACTGTACTTGTGTTTGAGATAAGCTTTGATGAAGGGATCTAATTCACCATCCATTACAGATGCAATATCTGATGTTTCATATCCTGTCCGGACATCTTTCACAAGTTTGTACGGATGAAATACATAGTTTCTAATCTGCTGGCCCCACTCAGCCTTCACTGCATCTCCCCTTATTTGCTTGATTTCAGATGCCCGTTGCTCTTCCGCTATCACCAGAAGCTTTGCTTTTAACCGGCTAAGAGCCTTGATCTTGTTCGCCAGCTGGGTTCTCTCCTCTGCAATGTGATTCAGGAAAAAAAACATTGAATATTCTAAAAGCCAAAAAGAGACATATTATCTTACATAAGTTAACTTCAGCATGCTATTTCTAACACTCAAAGCCAACTAGCGTGAGCCTACAAGATTAAGAAATCAAAACTATAAAAAAAAAGGAAAGAATGATATAAGTTAGTTCGCCATATTTAGCCAGCTGCTGAACGGGTCAAGCTTTTTACAGTTCTTCTAAGCACTTCTCTGAATTTTCTTTTCACTGCAACTGAATCTGGAAAGGCTTCCAACAGGGTTCCCATATATATTTAAAGAACTCAAATCATATGGTATCAATGATGATAAAACAAAAGGTTGCCTTATGTTAAAAGCAGCAAATATGGTATCCCCAAAGGTTTGATAAAGATGAGCAGATTACTTGAAGATGAGTTATACCTTATGATGCTTCTTCAAATTCAATTCAAAACATAATACTTTATGATACATAGCCTAGTTTTCGTTGTCCCCACAGACATCAATTCTTCCCATCCCTTCCCCACATATGAAAGAGGTTTTTTCTCCTTTTAATTTTTTTTTTGAAATAAAAGAGATAAAATATATTCACAAAAGTACCAAGGGGGTACAATCCAATACAAAATAGTTACAAATCTATCAAGTGGTCCAAGACGAGACCTAAGTCTTTCCACTTTTTCACATCATGACCTAACAAGATAAATCCGAAAGTATGAAACCATCTATCTCTAATGTTTACAATATCAGTTTCAATACCCTCAAAAACCCTCGCATTTCTTTCCTTCCACACAGCCCAAAAAATGGTAAGTGTAATAAGGAATCTATATCTATACTTATTACAATAACCCGCCCATGCCCAAAGTTCCCCACTAACATTACCGACTCTAACCCAAAACAGCCCCAAGAGCCCATAAACCATAGCCCAAATGTTGTTAATCACAGGACAGCCCAATAATAAATGGACATGATTCCTCATCAGCTTTTACAAAAATAACATCTATTCACCATAATGTTTCCTTTTCTTTTTAACATATCTATAGTCAATATGCTGTTTCTTGCCACCTCCCAAGTAAAAAACGCTACCCTTGGGGTTTTTTCTCCTTTTAATAACCCCAATCAAGTTAATTCTAGGTGCATCTAATGGCCGCAAAACATTTTTCTACCAAGTATATGTTGTACAAACCATTTTGTGATCTATTCTAGGTCAAAGAAAATTTCTAGTTAGAAGTTGAAATAGGCATCGCTAACTTGGACATACCAAAAGATAGAAGCACATGCATTCATCAGTAATTAGAACCTAAAGCCTACAACAATATCCTGCCAAGTAAACTAATGGGATTTCCATCATTGTCATCGCCGCTAAAACTATCTATAGCACCAAAGACATCTAGAAGTTATGTGGTTAAGAATACCTGTGCAACGAACTGTAACACCAGTGGGGATGTGTGTAATCCGGACAGCAGTTTCAACCTTGTTAACATTCTGCCCTCCTTTACCACCTGCCCTCGAAAAACTAATTTCTAGGTCTTCTTCTGGTATTTCAACTTCCATGGACTCTTCAGGAAGAAGTGGCATCACTTCAATTCCAGAAAAGCTTGTCTGCATACAAGTTTCATATTAGAACATAGAATGAGATATCTATCTTCTTATATGCACAAGCATAAGCAACGTGCACACACGCACGCAATGAGATAATTTTATACAGAATCTCCTTTTAGACTTTGTTTTTTGGCAAGGGTAAAGGTAAAATTTATTTAAGAACGAAATCACAAAACAAGGAAACCTGTACTCATTTTAAAAAGAACTACAACAACAAACCCCTGCAGCTTTGTTCACATAGCCATGCAGTTCTTAACAGCAACAGTTATAACCATCACTAGACAAAAATATTGCCTGCATAAACTTAAGGGTGAAAAAGGAGAACATGAGCAGCCAAATTACAGCCCAAAAACAGATGGTTGGAACAAAAATGGCAGACTTTAGCAAATACTTGCCAATGCAAAATTTTATCCTAATGAAATTTGAGGCATCTATCAAGGACTGAACAGAGCACCATGATCTCATAAGAAGATCAGAGAATTGATATAAAGAATCCATTTTTACTGATCTAGTCAAAAGACAAGATGACCTAAAAAAAAATCTGATTTTGACAAACTAGGACGCAAAGCAAGGAGCATTTCATCATCTACCCATTAACAAGGAAACTGTCTTCTACTCACAGACCATTACCACTGATAGCAACTTCAATAGCTACTGAACTTCACTTCCTTAGCACAGAAGCAGAGCGACTAACCAACATCTGATCTCTGGACAAAATATGCAACATCTCCATCTTTGCTGACACTTACATTTCAGGCTCTTGTTCTACTATTTTCAGTGACAAATTCTTTTAAAGTTTCAGTAGTATTATTTGTACTTTAAAAGACAATTCAGTTCCAATGTGCTTCTCTCTGTTTTGGAATAAAATTCATCACTTGAAGGGGTAACCATATTTCCTTTAAGATTGAAGATTTTTTGTTGATCATGATTAGGATGGAGTTCTACTCCTTAATACAAATCATAGCCTACTAACTAACAAAGCGTAACCATTAATCTTGTGTAGCGTTCAAGATTTAGTATAAAGAGATTCTTTTTCTTTATAGGAAAGGAATCCCCCTAAAACAAGAGGATGTCCTTGCACGAATAATGAGAAAATAAGTCAGGTAGAAAATAGGATCTAGGCGAGAATGCTAGAAGTAAAGTGAAATACCATTGTTTCTGTCATTATTGCTGAAGAAATAGTACATGTTTTTCTTTGAGAAAGTATATGCTGAAGAAATAGAGATACCTATTGCAACAATGAGAAAAGAGTGGCTTCCTGGTGCTGTCAAAATGGGATCTCTGCTAGACGACTGAAGACATGCACTATGGGATTAACTAGACTAAAACTCTGATGGTCTTCTATCTTCATTTTAGTGGCACACCCATATCCATGACGAAATCACCATGGCACCATGGCACCATGCATGCATGCGCTAATAGCCAACTTATAAAGTGAATGACGAATGGATCCTTACCTTGTCATTGTTTTGAGGCCTAGAATTTTTATCCTGGTGATCTTATGAGTATTCCTGAAAATTCTAGATGATGTTATACTGAGGAAGCACATTGTCACTGTTAAGTGTGTAGTTTTGGCTCAGGAACAGTCAACTTCGCTGATATCTCTAGCAAAGCAGTTAGGCCTAATTGGAATTGAACAATGACTTACCAATATTACGCCATATGATATGATGCTGCCCATACAAACTTATAACAAGTGTGATAGTAGAGTTGAGAGTGTAAGTTACACTATTAGTTAAGGTGATTACTTAACAATAAGCTCCTTTTTCATGCACTCTCATATGAGTGCACAGTCTCTTCCCTGTATTAAAAATGATTATAAGACAGACTAACAACAGTTTGTGAACTTACTTACCCTATGTGGATAAGTGGAAATTGTTAATACTCAGGTCAGGTTATAGATATGTAAGCATAACTTTCAGACATAGGTGATGGATCATGATCCAATAAATCAGTTAATAAAGGACGAGATCCCCGCTTAATAAATCAGTTAGAAATGAGAGTATATTTTGCTAGAGAGAAAGCAATTGTAGAACACAGTTTCTAACAACAAGGCAAGCAAATCCCCGCTTCTATTTCTGAATTCTTGATTGGATACGAATCACTGTTTCTTACACATGTTTTTAGTTATTCATAAGAAAGAAGTTACTTTAAGGATCAAAATTGAGTGGCTACCTGGCGAAGACCTTTAGCATTGAAAGGAGACTGTCGGACAATTCGATGTGTCCCTTTCTCCCCAGACAAATAACCATAAGCATAACGACCTTCAACTTCAAGTGTAGCTGACTTAATCCCAGCTTCCTCTCCAGATGATTTCTCAACCACCCTTGTCTTGTATCGCTGCTTCTCTCCCCATCTCATATACATCCTGAGAAGCATGTCAGCCCAGTCCTGCACTGGAAGCAATCAAGACTTTTACAAAAGAAACACAAAATGGAATCTCAGGGCTGACCTAAATTCAACTTTCATCAGTAAATATCTATTGTAACTTGCAGTGTTTATAGTAAAGTAAAATTAGTTAAATTGACAGGAACAATATCATTTGGGAGATATAAGTAACAACATCCATGCCTGAAAACCTAAAACTCAATCGTCAACTTTGCAAGAGTAATACCCTTCATTTCTAACATACTAGAGGATCAATATCCTTGTAGTAGTCCAGGATTTCTGCCATTACCAGTTTACCAAGGTAAACACCCATTAGATGATTACTAGCAGAAATCCAGTCAAGTTTAGAACCACAGCCAAATAACAGTACGAGATTAAGCCAATATATCATCTACAAATGGGGAACTGTAAACTCCATCAATACAGATAGAGAAACGAACAATTTCTTTCAACTAAGAGGAAGAATTTTAGCATTGCCTTAAGCATAAATTGCTGTTTACCTGTGCATCTGTGCCTCCTGCACCAGCGGTTATAGAGATAACAGCACCCTCTTTGTCATAGGGACCAGAAAGAAGTTGAGTCAACTCAAATCGATCCAATGCCTTGTTCAATTCTTTAATGATATTGGAAGCCTCTTCAAGTAGTCCAGAATCTATGGAGTCCATCTCCTCTGTTAAATTAACTATAGTTTCTGCATCTTCAACCTGCATCCATCAAACAACGTCTATCTTATCCTGAAAGCATTAGAAACCTAAGTTCCAATCTTCAAGATAGGACATTTTCAGCTATTCTTTGTTTGGGAAAAAAACCATATAGATGTCATGAGTTTTATCTCTGAAAAATCTGCAATTTTATTCGGGCGACTAGCCAAATAACCAACTTGTATTTAATAACAAAATCTAGAGAAACAGAACATTTGACTGCTTATCAGAAAAGTACCCTCTGCTTGTTAATTATTGAGCATCAAGTGTAAAGCATATGAACAACATCTTTTCATACAGTGTTAACAAACTTCATTTACCTTGAGAAAGTTTGCATGTTAAACATGCATGCTATGAGCCGAAAACCATACTGATAAGTGCTACCAAGAAGCTATAAAGCTTGTCTACAGGACTTCAAAGATTACCAGAAATATAATAATTATAAAATTTTCCTATAACAGAAAAGAAAATTTTTAAAAAGTGACAGAGTTGTTACAGAGAAAATTGGAGGATGCAGTATCTTCCAACCAAAATAGAAAGGTACGACAAACAAAGCAAAAAACATTAAGATGGAATAGGGCTTAAAAAGTCACGTGAGGCAACTGAAACCATTGCTCCAAACAATGACCCACAAGCCGGAAAACATAGCCCCCACAATAATATATTGCGCTCCTTAGTCCTCCCAAGATCATGCAGATTACTTTTATATTTCGGAAAAAAAAAAAGATCATGCAGATCTCTAAAGATAAGAAAATCCAGATTAAAGGGGCATCCAAACTTCCCCAAAATATAGAACCCTCCATCTCCGCATCTTCTTCTGCCGTTCCCAACTTGAGATTTAAGTCCATTGGAATACTTGCTACTCTGCACGCTGTCTTGCGTGTTTCCTTAAGCAGTTAAGTAATATACTTCGGCCAAGAGATGAAACCATCCTGTTTAGAATGAACTACCTCAATGCGAAGAAAGTATTTCAACCTTCCCAGTGTTTTGATATCGATTCTTTGGTTAGGCACTGATTTAGTTATTACATCACCATCTACTGTCACTATTATCTCATCCACATAGGCCAAAAGAGCTGCGACTTTCCCTGAAGACGAGTACTTGATAAACAATATATGATCTCTTTGGCTCTGCTTTTATCCCATGGCTATCATAACTCTTGCAAATCTGTCAAACCATACTCGCGGTGATTTTGCTTAAGTCCATACAAGGAAGTTTACACACAGTTCAACCACGTTCTCTTTGTAACCCATATCTCTTCCTTTAAATCTCCATGTAGAAATACATTTTTGACATCAAACTGCTGCAATTCCCGACCAAAGTTGGTAGCTAATAATAATAGGAGTCTTATCATATTCATCTTTGCAGTCGGAGCAAATATCCCCTAGTAGTCACTTCCATATGTTTGAGTGTACTTTTTTGCTACCAATCTTACCTTGTATTTTTTTATTGATCAATCTAATCAATGCTTTACTCCATATACCCATTTACAGTCCATTGATTTTTTACCTGCTGATAATTTCATTACCCCCCAAATCTTATTCTTTTCTAATGCTTCCATTTCACATTCATCGCCTGCTTTTGTTTCTCATTGGTAATGCCTTTATAGGATAGTGGAATTGATGATAGTATTTAGACTAAGAAGGAAGGCCTTATGAGATTACGAAAACTTCTCAAAAGAGAAAATTTGAGAATAGGATATAAAGGGTCTTTTTGTGTATTCTTTAATCCCTTATCAGTAGATCCCATTTTCACATGAAATTTATAGTTATCTTAATGAAAGATTATAATTTGGTAACTCATTCTCAAGATTCAAGTAGGATCAGGGATTTTACAAATTCCAGAGGTTACCTTCTTCCTTGAAAATACCTTACCTTTGCCAAATAGTACTAGATACTAGTCCAGGAGGATTTTCAAACACTAAGTTGAGTCCAAAGGAACGAGGTAAGATTTTTTATTGAACACAAGCAGTGTTGACAATTCAAATACAATTTCCTTATTTTCCTTTATTGAACTCTCCCCCAGTAGATAAGGCTAATAAAAGTAGGATGCTCATGCCATCATGAAATAGAATCTTTTTTAGGGGGATGATAACATTTATATCCTGTCTGAGTTAAGCAATACTTGAGAAAGATACACCTCAAAGCCCTAGGATCTAGTTTTCCCCAAGTACAACTGTAAACATAGACAAAAGAGATACACCTGAATATCCTAGGAACAAGATGATTTGTTGTGTATAGGTTAGGGTTGTATGCGGAAAGGTCTATCGGGCTCTTGAATCCCAAAAATCTAGAAGATATTGGCTTATGAGATGTATAATTGCAAGTAAAGCTTCACACAAAGAGAATTTAGATATATTTGTTTGGAACAAAAAGGTTCCAAGTGGTTTCAAGAAGATGGTCATTTTTCCTTTATATGACCCCTGTTTGTTGTGGGATGTAAACACATAAAGACTTGCGAATTTTGTTTCCATCTTTTATTACTTGCGAATTTTGTTTCCATCTTTTATTACTTTATTAATGGCACTCTTCTTGCTAATAGCTAGCATGGAAAAGTTAACGATGTTACGAGACTCGAGCATCATAGTTCTTCTACTTTCATCACCGCGAACTAGAGCTACCACTTCATTAGAACATGGAACCTTGGATATACAAAGTATCTGGGTCCTTAGTCAAATTCATGATTGAGTCCACTGAGGATATGGTAAATTCTGTCTTGCTTAATGAATTCTTTAAGGACTACAGCATCTTCAAATCATTTGGGTTTTAACACCCTGTAGCGGTCAAGTTCTTGTTGTAGAGCTTTCAACAGATTAGCACATTTTGTACCTGTTCTATTTCCTTATTTTGCAGCTATTGTCTTTAATTTAATCTCATATTCTGTGCAGCGTCTCTAGCATTTAACTAGCTTTAATGAAGTGAGTTCCAAATATCCTTTCTCACAGTCGAGAACATGCACGTGCCGCGAATCTTAGATATCATAGAGTTCCATAACCAGATCATAATTATTAAGTTTCTTCTTCCCATGCTTTAAACTGAGAATCTCCTAGTTTTGATCCTATGCCTGTGAGGTGATTGATATTCTATTTTCCTCTCAGTGTAGTACGAACAAGTTGGGACCACTTCAGTTAGTTCTTTCCATCCAGCCTATAGCAACCTACATGGTTTGTAATTCCCTGGATTTTTAGGATCTAACAGTCTCCCCTGTTTGAATAGGGTAATTGGTTTTTGTAATTTCTAACATCATCTAGGTTATTTTGTGTAAAAAAAGTTACCAGCAATGAAGGCTAATCAAGAAAGGGAATGCACAGGTTCACCCCACTAGTGATTAAGGTTGGTCAAGACGGAGTAGGGTGGTGCACAGTGACTTGAGAGGCGAGCAACAGTGCTTGCACACTGAAACAGGTAGAGGCGATGATTGTCTCTGCTAGAAGGGATTGGTCACGTGGCTGCTGCAGGTGGAGTCGCATGGTTGGATGCGGCTAGCATTTGGTTGGGCATGGCTATTGGTCGTGCTACTGAAGTGGCTACACGTGCAGCTAGGTGCAGCTGCTAGCATGCAGTGATGATGGTCGGAACTTGGAAGGATGCCGGCTATGAAGGCCGATTTAGGTTTAGTGTAGAGAAGTTAGGATTTGTTCCAAATGCTATGATATCAAGTGAAGAAATTTGTATTTCTTATTAAATATTACAAGTAATTATACACATCTCAGAGTACATAAAAGGAAACATAATTATTTGGAATCTGATAACTTATAGGAGATTTCATCATAACAGGATCCTACTTAAGTATGTCTAATTCTCTATATCACACCAAAGAAAAGATACATACACTTTTGCTTTCCAGCATAGTGCATAACATCATTATTGGTGGAAAGAAAATGTCTATACCTTACTTTTGAAGTCAGAAAGCCATCTTAGCTTATCTTTTACATCAGTCATGGCTAAAAGGGTTTCCTGAGCTTTGGCTTGATCATCCCAGAAGGAGCTATTAGCTGCTTTAGATTCCAAATCTGCTAGTTCATGTTCTAATTGTTGCAAACCAGCAGCAGCTCTAATTTCTTCAACACGTAGCGAGGCCATTTCCACATCTTTCCTTAAAGTGTAAAAATCTGTCATCAATGAAAAAGCATTCACGGGGTTATAATCATATGGCACGGGGTGCAGTAACACGTTCCTCAGGCAGAATTCCCACAATAAATTTGCAGCAAGGGTTTCAAAAATATGAACAGCAAAGTCTGAGAAGACATTGTCTTTTTAGGAAAAATTTGTGCCATAAAAAGCTATAAGAAGAATAGCCAATTAACCATCAGTGACATCTATCATTTAGAAATAAAGGAATTTGAAAGTTTTTGAAATTAAGCAGATAATGGGAAAAATTGAAAACCAAATGAAAAAGAGAAAATGAAATTCGTCGCAAATGTCTACAAGTACATAAACATTAACTTGGCAACATAGTAGTACTGGGAAATAAAATGCTTGTCACAGCTATGAATGATTTTCATCAGAAATGCATAAAGAAAAGTAATTTTTACAAGTTAACAAAGTTTCTTTTTTATAGAAAAAGAAATCTTATTAAGAAAGAGACGTGAACAATACAAAAACTTATTCCTCCTCATAATCGCATCAGCAGCGGATAACATCATTGCAAACTTAATTAATCTTTGCTCTAAAACAATTTCCTAAATTTTTATCCTCACTTGGCGTATCTTCTGCCCCCAATTCCATAAGGACTATCATTTAAATGTTTTGCCTGAAAGGCTACTTGAATTTTAACTATTGACTTGTGAATAGATAAAGAACCTAAATAATCCACCTATAGACACAGATACAGATAGCACAAGGAAAAAAAATTGCATAATCAGTAATATTCGCTCACGTAGCTGATTGAAATGAACATCATGTTCTTGCGCATAGTTAGGAGACCTCAAATTTTGCATCACTTCTCATAACATGCCATAAGTTTTAAATTGTG